GGCTTGTTGCTCAAGGTTATAGCAAGCAAGAAGGAATTGGCTACACAGAGACTTATGCTCTTGTGGCCAGGTTAGAGTCTATTCATTTACTCATTTCTTTTGCTGCAAAAAATAACATCACTCTATATCCGATGGATGTTAAGAGTGCATTCTTAAATAGGATTATAGAAGAGGAAGTGTATGTTCACCAACCTCCTGGTTTTGAAAGTGATAAATTTCCAGAACATGTTTTTAAACTTAAGAAATCTCTTTATGGTTTAAAACAAGCTCCCAGAGCTTGGTATGAGAGATTAAGTAATTTTCTTCTGGAGAAAATATTTATCAGAGGCAAAGTGGACACAACTCTCTTCTGTAAAACATTTAAGAAAGATCTGTTAATTTGTCAAATATATGTGGATGATATTATATTTGGATCTACCAATATTACACTGGGAAAGGAGTTTGCTATTTCTATGCAGGCTGAATTTGAGATGAGCATGATGGGAGAACTTAGATTCTTTCTAGAATGCACTTACATTCATCAGACAAAATATGTAAAAGAGCTTCTGAAGAAGTTCAACATGATTGATAGTAAATTGGCAAAGACTCCAATGCATCCAACAAGCACTCTTGGTAACAAAGAGGTAAGTAAGAAAGTAGATCAGAAACTCTAAAGAGGTATGATTGGATCTCTTCTCTACTTAACTGCTTCTAGACCTGACATTTTATTCAGTGTATGCTTGTGTGCTAGATTCCAATCAGATCCTAGAGAATCACACTTAACAGCTGTTTAGAGGATTCTAAGGTATCTGAAAGGTACTACTAATGTGGGTTTGTGTTACAAAAATTCTGATGAATTTAAACTAGTTGGGTTCTATGATGCTGATTACGCTAGAGACAGAGTTGAAAGAAAAAGTACTTCTGGAAGTTGCCAATTTTTGGGAAGTAATTTAATCTCCTGGTACAGCAAGAAACAACCTACAATTACTCTATCAACAACTTAAGCAGAATATATTGATGCTGCTGGATGTAGCACACAGATGCTCTGGATGAAAAGTCAGCTAGAAGATTATCAGATCTTTGAGAGTAATATTTCTATATTCTGTGATAATACTTCTGCTATATGCTTGTCTAAAAATCCTATTTTACACTCTAAAGCTAAGCATATAGAAATTAAACATCACTTCATTAGAGACTATGTTCAGAAGGGTAATATAAACTTAGACTTTGTTGATACAGACCATCAATGGGCTGATATTTTCACAAAACCCCTTGCTGAAGATAGGTTTAAGTTTATTCTGAAAAATATTGGTATGGAATTTTGTCCAGAATCACTACAAGAAAAAAGGAAATTTACGACACTTGAGTTGTGACAGTTATCACAAAACCGTCCTTATTCCTGTATTGCGACGGTTGTCACGACAGTTAGGATCAATTGTCATAGATTTTTTGCGACAGTTATCAAAAAACCGTCCTTATTCCTAGACTACGACAGTTCTCACGACGGTTTGAGCCAACCGTCGCAAATATTTTAGGCATGTTGTATAAAATAATGCGACAGTTACCAAAGAACCACTCTCTTTCCACACCCGCGACAGTTAAGACGAACTGTCGCAATTACTTTATCCAATCATAATTACTATTTTTTTTATTTCTTTAATTTTCCACTTTTTTCTTCATTTTTATTTTCTAACCTTTTCAATTTTATTAATTAATTTAATAAATAATTATTATAATTATTATAATTTTTATAATAATATAGTTTAATATTTTTGTCTAAAATAATAATAAAATATTTTCTATTTTATTATATAAATAGTTAATTTTTATTAAAATTAATTTTGATAATAATAACATACCTTCACCGCAACATTTTTACTCTATAGCAACGCCTAATTTTCAGGAAGTAAAAAAATTGTTCTCATAGAGAATAATAGGCAACTAATTATATAATTTGTTGCGGTAATTTATATAATTTTTTGTAAATTTTATACAACTGTGCAAAACCGTTCTTGTAGAAGACAATGAGAACGACAATGAGAACGACTTCTATTAACAACGGTTAGACCCGTTCTTATATGTTAGACCCGTTCTTATATAATTTTTAATTATTTTAATAAAAATTATTTAGTAACACCTATTCTCTCAAACCTGCATAAAAATTTCAATGTTCCCTCCCAAATTGATTCTTACGCACAAAGAGAGAACAAACATTCATTCCAAATCCGATATCGATTTTGTAACCCTAACAATTTGTTCTTCATCCCACGGTTACCATCTTCAATCTCCAGCTTTCTCATTTTTCTTTTCACCCAAAATAATTTTCGTTAAAACCTCCCAAAATATGTTTCAATAAAACTCTTGATTTTGTCTAATATTTCCACAAAATTGTATCTTCAAGATCCAATCCTCCCAAAACCCTTTCATTTTCGCCTGAAGTCGCTCAAAATTTCTATTGACCTTTTTTCCCCAAATCGCAAAACTCTTGTACATGTTCATTCTCGTTCTCGCAAAACAACATTACTGTGTTTAAAGTGCAGGAATCATTAATCAAACACTCACACGCATAAACCTCAAAGAAGGTTTGGTTTTTGTGTTTTCTCTGTCGTCGCCGCCTCCACTCGTATTCTCTGTGCAACCCCTTACCCTCATTCTTCTATACATCACTTTTCTTCTTCCCACAACTTCGGTACTTTTCTTCTTCCCTTTAACAACTTTTTGCTTTATTCTTGTTCACTGGTTTTGAATTTCAAATGCATATGTCCAGGTTTCTTCTTCTTCACAACGATTCAAGTGCATTCACATCAAAGCCATGGCTGAAACAGATGCAATATCTGAGCCAAAAACAGGTGCATAATTGCTTTTAAAGTCCTGCATATTTTGAATTCTAGTATATTTTCTAGGTGTTTAGTTTATTTATATTGCTTTTTACCCTAAAATTAAAATTTTCTTAAATTAAATTTTTATTCTACATGATTTTAGACAACAATGTGTTTATTTACCCTTTAATGATGTTTTCTATTTGATAAGTTTTAGGATTTATTGTTGTTCTATTGCTGTGAAACAGGAAGCAAACAAGCTTTGATATCATTGTCAGACAAGAAGGAACTTGCATTGGTTGGAAATGGACTTCAGGAATTAGGGTAGTTTTTATTATAAATAATGGATTTTTGTTCGTGCTTTTTTTGTTACAATGATTATCATGTATTTGAATATTAGGTTCACTATTGTTTCAACTGGAGGAACAACTTCTGCATTGGAGCGTGTTGGAGTGGCTGTCACTAAAGTTGAGCAACTTACTCATTTCCCTGAAATGGTGAGTGTACTTGTAACTTGATTCGGCTTTGAAATCTCGTTTAAATTTGGTTTGTGTGATTTTTAGCAGAATTACTAACAATGAATGCAATGACTTTTCTACACAGCTTGATGGCCGTGTCAAAACTCTACACCCTAACATACATGGAGGCATCCTTGCTCGAAGAGACCAAAAACAGCATATTGATGCTCTCAGTACACATGGAATCGGAAAGTTATTATGTTATCCTCTTTGTTTTATAACCTGTGTTGTCAAATAGCGGATGCTGCGTAGCAGAATTTGAACAAATCTTTATTTAGTGCGAAACGTTAGCAAATACACAGAGAATCTCATGAGGATAGTTCCAGCAGTGCTTCTGTATCAATTCAATTGCCTAATGTTCGTCGTTTTCTTTCGCTGTCTACGCTGAGTGAAATCGATGACGTGTCTATTGGGAGGGTTACAGATGAATCTGATAGTGCACCAGATGCTGTTTTCTCTCAGTTGAAAATTGGTGATGGTAGATAGAATTTCATGTGAAGTTCTTCCAGGTAGAATGATCAACATGCAATTGTCTCAAGTGGAGGATATGGTCAATTCTTAGTTAAGCTTTTTGGTGTATTCTCAATTGTAAGATTTATTATTATGATGTTTATTTCTATTGCTTACAATAAATTAGGTTGTTGGTAAATTAGGTGTAGTATATACAACACCTGTTTGAATGCTCGCGTCAATTTATGAAGTCTAATCAGCTGTTTAAATGTGGTATATGGTTCTAACGGCCTAAACTTTACAGGGTTGTGCTAGAAAAACAATACTATGTTTTGTCGGTTTTGAATCGACAACATTTATTATTCTGTTATGTTTCTATTTGTTTACCGAGCAGGTCAAGTTCAGTTTCCATAGAGATTGGGACACCGTAGAGACACCGGTTTGATGAACGTGTCGAATAGGTGCTACTACTGTGATTGACTTGCCAACAACAGTTCGAGGTTCGATAACAGTCTGAATCAGATTTACTTTTGTATTAAACTCCTATGATGCTATCAATTTAATTTTGTTAAAGTTCTGTTGTTGCTATTGGTAATTGAATCAGATTTGTGCTAAATTATAGAGTTTGTAAATTTGTTGTTGCAACTCCTTTGTTTTTTGTTTTTTTTTTAGTTTGCCTCTTTATATATGTTACAGTATAGTCTTGATGTTACTACCATTCTTTATTTTGGAGAAGCTGATTTTGCAAGACAGTATTGTTATGCTAATGTGTTAGCATCTTGTTTTTCATTCTGACACTATGGTAGGGTTGTATTGTATGGTTTGATGGTTTTTTTTTTCCATTCACCTTTGAATTTCAAAAGTCCATTTAGCCTTTTGAAAATGATGGAAAGTTGCGGTACATTTCATTATGGATTAGAGGAGAGGCCACTTGAGTTTGTTACAATATTTCCTGCTAGATTTGTTTAGCCATTTACCATGTTTAAAACCACTTTTTTACTTAGTTAGAGATTTGTTTGTTTTCATTAGTAGTATTTCAGTTGGTAATAATTTAAATGGTCTTTTAAGTCATGCTTGCATTTCTGGTTTTACTATTACTGTCTTAGCTATTGTAGAAATATACATGTTAGTTAATCACAATGAGGTTTCATAATTTGTAAAATATTATCTAGCACCGTTCTTATATAATTTTTAATTATTTTAATAAAATATTATCTATCAGCACCGTTCTCATATGTATTACATTGACATGGTTGAAACGAAACCTTCTCCCGCAATTTCGATAATTGAAACAGACTGTGAGGTAGATTTTGCCCCACCTCTTGATTACAAAGAACCTAAGAGAAATGATACGCGTGAGGGAAAGTATGATCACATGTAGTTTCATGGTTTCTATTTACAATGGACACTGAGATGTTACTTTATTTGTATACCATAACTGTAATTATTTTTGGATGTTTATTTTCCTCAGTGGCACAAGATCATTTCAGTTTCAAGATGTGTTCTCTCTGGAAAGTGAAGATTCTGATGACGTGACAACTTTGATTGACAAAAAGGTGTGCTTAAAGTAATCCGAAGTCTTCAGGGTTCTTATCAGTTATGATGCTCAATACTTCTTTTCATGTTTGAACTTTCTTACTTATTTATGCTATTGCATGACAGGACAATGTCTTTGTGATGTCAAACAAGAAATCCAAATATCCAGTGCTTCAAGTGGATTTGAGGTTGATATTTATTTTGATTTTTGACTTTGTAGTTACTGTTCAGGGAATTCTTTATCTGCTTGGTTGACTTGTTGAACAATAGTCAATTGTGCTATGAACTGCTTTAAATTTGGATAGCATTTTAATTCTGGCCTAATATTCTAATGTTGTGTAAACTGTAAGTGTTGGAAACCATCAAGTATTTGCAGTGCCTTCTATTTTGCTTTCTTTTCTTCATTTGGAAAGTAAATGGTTTATGGTTTTCTTATTTTGTTCCTGGGGTTTGTATGCATAAAACAGAGAAGGAAGGTATCGCATGGTGATGGATGATTTAAGATTTATGAGTTTATGTTCTTGTTAGATGTTGACTTGTTGCTCTTTATTTTTGAAATTTGTGTTTTTGAAGTCCGTGCATTATTTTATTTTCCAACCAAATTTAGTTAATAATTTAGTAATTTCACATTTGTGTAGGCTAATATCAGATTTGGTGGTCATCATAGTTTCTGCAGCCATTGGTGGAATAGTCTTTTCCTGTTTGGGTATCGCCATTAGTCTTTAATGGAATAGTCTTTTTCTGCAGCCATTGGTGGTCATCATAATTTCACATAACCTGAGGAAGTTTTGCTTTTGGAAGAGCGTGTTGGTGAAGCCAAAAGATTAGCAGTAATTAGAAGACTACAAAACTGATTATGAAGGGCTCATGATGATACTAGAAGACCACAAGTGATTTTCTTTATTGGTGCTAACTGGAAGTAATGTTTAAGCTTTTGTAGATGTTCATGTCTACCCTCTAAGGCAAAATCATACCAAAGAATTCTTCAACCATCGGTAGAAAATCTTGGATCATCACTTGGTGTGGAAAATTGGGCAGAATATCTTGGATCATCATAGGTTGTACAATTATATTGATTATATTGTATAAATCAAGTTATAGATTATGACATTTGATCATTTAGATATTCATAAGTATATATTTAGTAGAAAATATAATAAGTTATTTAGAAAAGTGATATAATGAAATATCGATTGTTTTTTAAGTTATATAAATTTATATATTTGTTATATGTGAGTCTTTATATATTTGATATACATGAGTCTTTATATATTTGATATATTACCAAAAAACAATAATGTTTAAATTAAAAAAATTAATATTATAAAAAAAAGAGATGAAAGTAATTTAAATAAAAAAAGAATATTATAAAAAAAATCTATAGATAAAATTATGACGGTTTAAACCGTCGCAATTAGCATAAATAATATTTAGAATTAGAAAATATAATTACGACGGTTGAAAACCGTCACAATATGGAGAATACGACAATTAGCTATCCGTCGTGAAAATAACGACGGTTTGTACGACAGTTTTCACAACCGTCGCAATACGGTCTCCCGACGCACGTTTCTGCGACGGGGTTGAAACCGTCGTAACTTACAAATTGCGACGGTTAAAACTGTCGTAATATGTCAAAATGAACCGTCGCAATTTGGAAATTTTCTTGTAGTGAATAATATTTATCAGAAGCAACTTTCTCAGATGCAAAATGTTTAAACTCTGAAGTATTTCATCTGTCATTTATTTAATTTCTTGAATTATTATTTATGTGTGCATCTGAACTAACAAATCTCAGAGGATCTGAACGTTGGCTAACGTTTCATTTCTCAAAGAGTTTTCAGAAGCACATGCAAGGAAACACGTGTAACTCAGAATCTGAAAAGATGGAGTGCACAATACTGAAAAGACGTTTGAGGTACTGTTTGAATATTTGGTTTCTCGTTTTCCCCCCCAAATTGTCAGAATCATTAATGCTTGAAATGATTATTTTCTCTTTATTAAATTCCATTAAATGCTAAATGAGAACGTGTTAAACGTGTGACCTTTGTGTGCCCTAATTTGTCTCTATAAATTCCACAACTCACAACATTTCACATTTTTCACTCTCACGAACACTTGTATGCATTTTTGCTTGCTCTATTGTTTTCATCTCTCTTCAAAACCCAAAACCGTTCGTAACCCTAATCCTTCAACTTCTTCAACTATGGATACTTCTTCTTCAACCTCTGCTCAGTTCCAATCTACCATGGCAGCTGTATCATCTTTTAATCTGGGTGTTGTTCCATTTAAGGAACCTATTAGAACAAATCTCACACCTGTTGAGAAACTGGAAGTTTTGTGTGAATCCTTGGTGGATTTTGCTTCATTGGCTGCAAATGGATTTAATCTTCGTTCTATCATTGATTCTCAAGGATGGACAAAGTATTTTGATAGATTGTTTGGGCCACTTTATCCAGTTTTGGTAAAAGAATTTTGGATTCATGCTCATGCATATCCCAAGTTCATTGTGTCATCTGTTTTGGGAAAAGAAATTGTGATTACTGAGGATCTTATAAGGAAACTTATAGGATATGAAGAAACTGATGGAGTTTCTCGTCTAACTGGGCGTGTCAATATGGATGTTGTTTATGAAGATGTGATTGCTTCTGGAGAACCCTCTAACAAGTTCAAAGATTTGAAGCCAAATTACAAGATCTGGGCTAAAATCTTCATGGGTTGCATTCATCATAGAAAGTCTACCAACTCTCCTGACTATGTGAATAATGATCAGCTTTACTTCATGTTCTGTCTTAGTTAGAGCACAAAGGTAGATCTGCCTCATCTGCTTTTCTCTCATCTTTGGAATCATGTTAAGGCATCCAGAGAAGACATGAAGGCAAAACAGGCAAAGGGTAGAAATTGGATCCCTTGTGGAAGATTGATTTCAGACATTCTGATAGAGAATGGTCTGGTGGCGCATCTGCATGTGGCTGGACTAAAAGAAGAACTTACATCCATTCTTGGAAAAGTTTTGAATGCTAAAAGTTTACAGAGGCTGAAAGTAATAGATGAACTTACTTCTGTTCCTGACAAACTCAATACAGAAGAAGTAAGCAAACAAAGAATTCTTGTAGATGATTTTCCAACGTTTTATGCAGAAGAACCAAAGGAAGTTCTGATCAAGTATGTTGGATCATGTATGGAACAAGGAATTCCAGTTCCAGAAGGACTTCTAAACCGTGAACCTATGCCAGATCTTTATGAAGAACATAAGCGGCAGAGAAAACAGGCTTTAGAAGAAGAAGAAGAAGAAGTTGTAGGCACACAGCAGAAAAAGCAGAAAACTTCTGAAGAACCTCAGAAGAAGAAGAAAAGAAAAGCTTCTGGAGAAGCTCCTTCTGCTCCTATCAAACGCATCAAGAAAACAGGTACTAAATCATCCTTACCTATTATTTCTGAAATTGCAATAGAATCTTCAACAATAAGCTCTGTTCCTGAACCCCCATCTTCTCAAACTCAAACCACTTCTATACCAACTCAATCATCTATACAACCACCTCCATCTTCTAAACAAACTGCATCTGATACCACACCGTTGCAATCATCTGAACCACTAACTTCTGAACAATCTGAACAACCAAAAACCTCTGAACCAAAACAATCTGAACCTCAAGATCAAACACCACCAGAAAAACCAACTCCACAACAACCAGAACCCCAACAAACAGAACCAGAAGAAATTTTATCTTTTGTTCCTCAACCAGAATCTATCCAACCCTTTGAACCTTTCATACCTGATTCAGATATTCTGGATATCCAACCCCTCAAAACTCTCTTTGACATTTCTTCCACATCATGTCATTCATCTGAATCATCTGATTCTTCTGAATCTGATGTACACCCAAAAGTAAACTCACCACCATATCTTCGTGGCTATGAACCAAAATCATCTGATTTTGTTTCTCTTGCCTCCTTGAAACCTTTACCATCTGATCCCCTTCCCTCTGGTTTAAAACTCAAACATTTTGTGATAAAACCAAGGAAATCAGCCTTTATTCCATATTCTTTTAATCCCATAACTATTATTCCATCCATTCGCAGAATAAAAACATTCTTTTGCCTCATGCCTGCTCAATCTAAACCACCATATCCTCGTCCTCTGTTCATTATCCTAACCTTTACCATACCACCCCCAGCAGTTCAATCCAAACCATCAACTCTGAAAGCCTTTCTTAAACCTAAGTCTATGCTAAATGTTGATGTTTTATTTGCTACTTTCAAGAAAGAAATAACGATGAGTTTAGACTCTGTGAAGAAGAGATGCCTCTCAAGCATGAATTCAGATGACTCTGATGCTATTTGGAATAGCTTCATCTCCAGATTCAACACTGTTGCTTCAAATCTGAAGAGTGTCTACTTTGATGATGCGAAGATCAGATTCGCTGAGATTACCAGAACCATGCTATTGAATGTGAACAGATCTCCAACTTTGCTTCTCGAAGATGCACCCTCAACTTCTGGAGTGTCTGCTACTTCTGAGACTATTGAAGGATCTGCTCCTGAAGTCATTCTGGAAGAAAATCCTTTAGCTCTGATGATTGTGGATAAATCATTTGAATCCGTGCCTCCAGAATCTGCAACTGTAATGGATATTAACTCTACTCCTACTCCTACTTCTGAATCTGCTCCCTCTACTTCTTTTGAAGTTAAGAAAGAGTATCCAGACTTAGAAGACGAGATTGCTATGCTAGAAGCTGGTCAATCTGAGATAAAATCCTGGATGGCAAGTCAAGATCAGAAGACTGGCAACATTGAGAAATGGATGTCCAAGCAAGAACAATCTTCATCTGAAATTACCAACATTGAGCACTTGTTTGCATTTCTCATCTGATGTCTCTTCTATCTGAATATTTTAATGAATGAATCTATGAATGTTTTCTTTATATGATTATATATTTGCTCTCTGTTTCCTTTTATTTATTTTTAAAAAAAGTTTCTTTTTGATTATGACAAAAAGGGGGAGAAAATGAAATTCTAATTATTCAAATAAACTTTACCTGAATGGAATTCAGACATATCAAATCATAACTAACATGAATTTTTAATCTTTCAGAACTATAATGATAAATCTGACAAAATTCATTAAAGTAACTCTGAGATCCCCAAATCAAGTTTTAACCAATCAGGCTCTGATTCTGAAACGTTCATCCAAATCAAGCTCTGATTCTAAAAAGAATACTCATGCAAAAAGGGAAGTTTCTATTCTTTCTTAGTATTCAATTTAGGGGGAGATTCATAATCTCAGGGGGAGTTATATTTTTTTCTATTTATTGAACAAAATTTCCTATGTTTTTGTCATCATCAAAAAGGGGGAGATTGTTAGAACACAGATTGGTTCTTAGTTATATCTGTATGTTTTGATGATAACACTAATGAAATTTTGTATTAAGAAATTATATACTCTAAATTTGTTCAAGTATTTTTGTTGTAGATATTAAATTTAATATTCTTCTGAAAGCAAAAATGAATCTGAACATTGAACTACGCAAGGCTTTGAGCGTCAGAAGCATCTTGTTAGAAGACTCTGAGCGCTGCCTACAGAAGAATCTGAAGTAGAAGCTACAGAAGCATCTGAAGCATAGCTGAAGACTTTGTGTGAAGAGTTTCAGGCACTGTTTTTCAGAAGACTCTGATAGTACTGTTCGCTGCAAGTACTGAGGATCTGATCTCCAAACTCTGCTCTG